GCAGCTCTGCGAGGCGGGCGAGGAGGAGTTCCTGGAGATCATGGCGCTGGTGGGCATGGCCACCAAGCCCCTCCACGTCCGCCGCCTCCAGAAGGCCCTGCGCGAGTGGGCCTCCAACCCGGGGCTCTTCAGCCAGCCCGTGTCGGCCGTGCCCGTCAGCAGCATCCCGCTCTTCAAGCTCTCCGAGGCCGGCGGGCGCAAGGCCCTCAGCAATGGCCACGCCAGCCCCGGCGAGGCCGCGGGCAAGGGCGGTGGCAGTGCCGGGACGCCCCCAGCCCGCAGCCCCACCGAGCCGGGGGAGAAGCTGTCGCCGTCCGCGGCCCCGCAGTGGCCAGGGAGGAGCACCCCCGAGTCGGAGGGCGGCGGGGATGAGGATCCGGGGGGTCCCCCCTTCTCCCCGGGGGGGAGCGGCGGGGAGCAGGCGGCGGGCGCGGAGCTGGAGCCGGAGCTGGTGCGGACGGTGGCGGAGAGCGTGGAGCGGCTGCTGCAGAGCTGCCCCCGGGGCGGCGACGCCGAGCTGCGGGCGCTGATGAAGCTCAACAAGAAGCTGGCCAAGGCCGTGGGGCACATCTTCCAGCTGGAGGACGGTGACCGGCAAAAGGAGGAGGAGATCCGGCGGCACAGCGCGATCTACGGCCGCGGCGAGGCCCGGCGCCGCGAGGGCAAGCAGCTCACCCTGCACGAGGTGGGCACGTGGTGGGGGCCATGCTCGAGGGTCCCAGGATGTGCTGGGTTGGGATGGAGCCTGGGCAGCTCTAGGGTTGTTGGGTAGGTGGGATCCGGAGTCTGCTCTCACCCAGGTGGCATCTGCCAGCCTGGAGCAGGTGCCGCCTTCGCTGGGGGTCCCGTGTGGGAGCTGTTGTCCCGTGGGCGCTGCCGTCCCCGCTCACGCCTCGTCTCTCTCTGCCCCCAGCTCATCATCAACGAGGCGGCCGCCCAGTTCTGCCTGCGGGACAACTCGCTGCTGCTGCGGCGTGTCGAGCTCTTCTCGCTCTCGCGGCAGGTCGCGCGGGAGAGCACCTACCTGTCCTCGCTCAAGGTCGCCAGGTGAGCCCAGACCTGCCAAACCCCCTCCTTCCACACCTGGGGGGGCCTGGCTGTCACCCCCACACACCCTGGGAGCTGCACCACCACCCCGTGCTTCTGGACAGGGCCAGGGCCCCGCGGCCCCCGGTTCCCCTTTCCCAGCGTGGGTGGTTTCTGCCTGACCTCGGAGCGTGGGAGGTGGGGAGGATGGGAATGACAGGGATGCCAAGCGTGGGGGGGGATGCCAGGCACCAAGGGGTTGCCAGGCATGGGGTGGGATGCTGCTGGGGATGCCCCATCCCTCGTGCCCATCCCCAAAGCCCCCTGCCCGCTGTGCCAGGGCTGCCTTTTCCCTTCGCTTCTCTAGCCGCTCCCCGCTTTTTCCACCCCCGGTTCCATCTATGCCAAAGCCCCGACCCGTGGCGTTGTCCTGCCTGCGGGCCACCCCCACAGCGTGGCGGGAGGGCGGGTGGCTGTGCCTGTGGGGGCCTCGCCACAACCACCCCCCCGCCTGACGCAGCCCCTTCCCCCCCAGGGCACTCCCCGAGGAGAGCGGAGCCATCGCAGCCAAGCGGCTCAAGCAGGAGGTGGGTGTGAGGAGGGGGGCGTGTGCAGGTGTGCACACCTGGGAGCGTGGGTGGGGCGGCACAGCGTGCCCGGGGCTGGGCGGGGGGCGAGGGGCACCACAGAGGGGTGGTGGCAGCGGGGCTGGGGCCGTGGGTGTCCTGGGGCGGGTGGCACAGGGGACCTGTCCCCTGCTCACCGGAGCACTCCTGGCAGGTGGGAGAGCAGAGCCGCCCTGAGCTGCTGGCACTGCCGGTGGGGCTGGAGCCCCCCGGGGCTGTGTACCGAGCCAGCCTGGAGGAGGACACGGGCAGCCTCTCTGGGGAGAGCCTCGATGGCCACTTGCAGGGTGAGTTGGGGTCCCTGCCCTTCCAGGGGGGCTGGTGGTGAGCAGACCCCCCAGCCCCTCGTGCTGACTCTCGCCCTTCTCTTGGCAGCGGCGGGGGCCTGTCCCCGGCTGACCCCCCCGCCTGGCACGGCCCCCGACGTGCCCCTCGGCCTGGCACCCCACGGGCTCTGGAGCCGCCACATCCTGCAGCAGACGCTGATGGACGAGGGGCTGCGCCTGGCCCGGCTGGTCTCGCACGAGCGCGTGGGGCGGCTCAGCCCCTGCCTGCCGGGGAAGCCCCCGGGACCAGGTGAGCGGCTTTGCTGTGGGGGCTCGGGCAGCACCGCTGTCTCCTCCCTTGGAATCGTGCCCTGACACCATCTCCCGCTTCTCCCCGCAGAGTTCGAGGACGGGCTGGCGGAACGGGGTCCTCCGGCCCCCCCAGACCCCCCTCGGGGCACCATCAAGGTGGAGCAGGAGAGCAGCCGGCAGTGAGGCCCCCGTAGCCCCCGCCACCATTAACGAAGCAATAACGTGCTGGGGGACGGGTGCTGGCGGTGCTCTGGGCGCGGGGAGCCTGGGGTAGGGGGGGCTCAGCCACAGCCCCCCGGGCCCCCTCCCCTCCCACACCCACGCTCTGGTTACCTCAGCCGCGGTGGGACGCGCCTCCCCGCAGCAGCAATACCCTCATCCCGCCTGGCTCCGGGCCCCTGCCAGCCCCCCGGGCCCTCGATGGACCGGAGCCCACTGTACAGCCCCCCCGTCGTGCTGACCGCCCTCCCCGCCCCCGGCCCCGTCACCGTGCAGGGACAGACGCGTCCCCCCGGCACACGCACCGCACCGCGCGCTCCCGCGTCAGCGCTGCCGCCCACGCCGGGCACACGGCCCCCCGCACCCCCCGCAGCGCCCACGCACCAGCCGCCAGCCCCCTCCCCGCAGCACGTGCCAGCGCACTGTGCACCCCACTGCGACCCCCGCCGCCATCCCAGCACTGTAAATACCCGCCCCGCACGCGTCCCCCGATACCTGCGTGTGCTCCATGCATGGTCCCCGTGCCGTGGGGTGTCACACGTGCCGTGGGGTGTCACCCCCTCCCAGCACGACGCAGGTGGCGTTCGATGGGCACCGGGGAGGTGCTGCCCACCCACCCCTCCAACCCCTCGGGGTCCCTCCTGAGCCCCCACATCCCGCTCCCATAAGCCGCGCCCAGCCCCGGGGTGTCCCCCCCCATCCTTAGGACTGTGTGGTGTCTTTTTAGAGCATTAGCGACTCTTCCTTTGTACTGTGTACAGTAGATTATTTATTTTGTTATTTTGGAATAAAACTTTATTTTATGGCTTACCTTCCTGCCCGCCCCCCCCTGCCCCCCGCTCCAGCCCGGGGGGAGAAGGTGGACGGCTCAAAACCCCAAAGCAAGCGCTGACCGCGGGGGTGCGAGGGGGCCGCGTCCCCCTCCGCGGGGGTCCCGGTGTCCCCCCCGCCGGGCACCGGGCTGGCACCTCCGCCCCGGCGCCGTTCCTGCTGCCGCCTCCCGCCCCCGCGGTGACTCATCCCGGCGGCGTGGGCTGGGGGCACCGCGTGCGGCTGCCGGTGCCCCCCACGCAGGACGGGGCCCCTGTGCCTGCACCCCCTCACCCGCGGACCCCGGCGGGGGTGGGCAGCAAGGCACGGCGAGGGGGGGGGGAAGCTGGGGTTACCCAAATCCCCCTTCCCCAAAGCTGCCCCCCCCTCCCCAGCTGGAGTTTCCACCCCAGCACGAGTGGTATCAAAATCCACGGAGCCAGACAAGGCTGGGCGAGAGTGGGGGGGTCCCACTGCGATGCCCCCCACACACACACCTCAGCCCCCCTCAGGCGTGCCCGGGCCGGGCGCTGTCATCCCACCGCGCCTCCCCCAGCCCCCAGCAGGAGGGGCTGGAATTGGGGTACTCGCTGTGCTGCGGGGGGGGCGCGAAGGGGGGTAACAGGGACACGTCCTGCAGGAACTGATCCAGGTCCGAGCTGGACGGCGGCTCCATGCTGGGCGACATCCTGGGGACACAGGGAGCAGGGTGACCGGGGGGAGTGTGTGTGGGGGGGGTTCCCCCCCATGACCCCTCCTTCCCTCCGTGCTCACCACCGCGGGGGGCTCTGCAGCGGCGCGTCCACCACGCCCGGGAACGGGGGCAGCTCCGGCATCTCCTCGTCCTGCAGCTCCGGAGAGGGACCCCCAGGCAGCAGCTGTGAGGCCTCCCCAGTCAGGTACTGGTTGGGCATGAAAGGGCTGGGGGGACAAAGAATGGGGGGGGCTGATACAGACCGTGGGGTACCTCGGGGTACTCACCAGCCCCGAGGCATGAGGGGTGCAATGCTTGGTTTGGGGGGGACTGGCGTGGGTCTCCTCCAGGAAGCACCAGTAGCACGGAGCACTGGGAGCACTGGTCAGCTGGGGACGGTCCCTCCAGGTCTGTGTGCCCAGGGTGAGGGGGAGACAGGGGTACAGGGCCCCCCTCCAGCCACGTGCCAGGTCTTACCCAGGGGTCCCGAAGGTGGGGTCCTGGCAGAGGGGCAGTGCTGGGTCCATACTCAGGGAGGGTGGGAGAATTGGAGGTGTCCTGTGGAGAGGGGGACACTCAGAGTGGGGACCACACCCCTTGACCCTGCCTGGAGGTGGTGGGGGCTCACTATGGCCCCCCCACCCTAACCCAGCCCCGCTCCTACCTGGGGAAGGGGGTGAGGCTGTCCGGGACCATCACGTTGATGCTGCTCTCCGGGTAGCCCGGGGGAACGGGCTGGGGGCAGAAGGGAGTGGTAGGGCTGCAGTGCAGACACCGAGGGGTTCAGATTGAGGAGGGGGGGCTCTGCCACAGCCCCGCCCCCCAGACCAGCAGGCCTGGCCCTGCCCAGCGCAGGGCACTCACCAGAGGGAGCCTGGCAGTGGCTGCAGGTTCTCGGGGCGCAGCTCAGGCTGCGGCACAGGCAGGGTGAACATCGGTGCCGGGGGGGCCCCCATGGTGCTCGGGGGCTGCTGGTCCCTGCAAGAGCACATTGTCCCCATCAGCACTGCCAGGGCCAGGCTCCTGAGGGGCTCCTGTGCCAGTGGGTGGTGGGAGCACAGACAGACCCCAGCACAGCTCGGGGGGCCCACGGGGGCTCCTCGCTCACCAGCACAGCCCTGGTTTGCCCTTTCAGGGATGCCCCTGCCCAGGGGAGGCTCAGGCTGGCCGGGGTTCTGTGCAAACCCTGGCCCATGTGCACACACCTCCAGCACGCACAGCCATGGCCTCACACCCACCTTTCGCTTTCCACCGTCATCTTGATGGCAGTGGACACGTAGCCCCGGCCGTCCTTGCCCGTCTGCTCCTCTGCTCGGGGAGGGAGAAGCAGCCGTGACCACCACCCTGAGCCACCACCCCAGCCATGCCCTGCCAACCCTCTTTGCCAGCACCGGCCGCCCCCACGAGCCCTGGGATCGCCCGGGTGAGACCCCAGACCCCTCCCAGCATCGCTGGGGCTCAAAGGGGCAGCCCAGGCCCCACCCCAGCTCCCCCCTCTCACTGTTGTAGTGGCTCCCGAAGGCCTGGTCCTTGGGGGTGTTGGGGTACAGGTTGCGGAGCTGCCCCAGGTCCCGGATGCGGTCGCCGAGGGAGCGGATGGACAGGTCCTTGGCAGAGAAGGGCTGGATGTTCTCCACTTGGCTGGAGCCTGAGGGAGGGGGGACACAGCACAGGGCTCCAGCGTCACACCCCATGCCCCCAGGCCACAGGGCCAGCCTCCTTCACAGCACCCGACCCCCGTCTCACCGTCCTTGCCCCGACTGACGTAGGCGATGGTGACGCCCCCGATCTCGGAGTCGCTGAAGCGGAGCAGGAAGGTCCCGTCCGGCTCCGTGCTCAGCAGTTTGCAGACGTACTGCTTGCTGATGAAGCCAATGATGAGCCTAGAGGGGGTGGACAGATGGGAAAGTGGGACCAGGACCCTCCCAGAGTGGCGGGCTGGGACCCAGGCCCAGTCCCAAAGGCACGCACCTGTCTGACCAGTAGCTTTTGAGGCATCTCTTGGTGAGGTCGAGGACTCCATCAAACCACTGCCAGAAGGTGAATCCCCGACCAGGGAGGATCTCCTGGGGCAGAGAGAGGCCATGAGGCTCCCCAGGGCTACTCTGGCCCCTGCCCACCCTGGCCAGCCCTCCCAGTCACCTTGTTGAACTGGGCCCAGGAGACATTGCGGCTCTGGAAGTCCTCGAGGCTGGCACTGTGGTCGTTGAAGATCTTCTGGGCCAGGAAGAAGTAGTGCTCCTTGAGGAGCCCTTTGGTGGTCTGCACCTCTGCCATGAACTTCAGGTTCAGGGTGTCACACATCTTCTCCCAGGGCACCCTCTCGGCCACCACGAAGGGCACCCGCTCCTGTGGTCGGGCAGGGGGGCATCAGGACAGGACCCCCACCACCTGTCCCACCCAGTGCCAGGGCTCCCATTCCAGTTTGAGGTCATTCCTCCCCCCTCCAAAGCCCACCCAGCCCTGGGTCCCAGCTTCTTCCCTCTGGCTCGTGGCACTCACGATCTCGGAGAAGGCGTTGTCCCACAGCACGGTGGCTTTGGCGTTGTTGTCCTGGTTCCCGTGGACAATGACCACGATGGGCAGAGAGAGGACCTGGGGGCAGAGAATGACCCCCCTCAGACCCCTGAGCTGAGCAGGGTGGCTGCCCTGGGACCATCCCAGCCCAGCATGGGGTTCCCCCGGGGAGGAATCAGCACATCCAGCCCCATCCCCTGGAGAGGGGCCAGTACCTGGAGCTGGATGGAGGCGTTGCTGGGTGCCAAGGCCACGGTGGTGCTGAACAGGACGGCACATTTCTCCTCCGTCACCGACTCGGAGCCCTTCCGCTCGCAGCGCTTGATCTTCTTCAGCAGCTGGGGAGCGAGAGCTGAGCATCACCAGCCTCGGCACGCCCAGAAACCCCCGGGAGCTGCCAGCGGAGCCCCCAGCCCGGCCCCTTGCTGGTGGCACTCACCACATTCTTGAAGTTGGCGCAGCAGATGCCGCTGGTGGGGTTGGTCTCCAGGGCCACCACGTTGTGCATGATCTCCCCCGTGCTCTCGCTGGGCAGAGGAGGGGTCAGGGGGGGTGTGGTGGTGGGGAAGCCCCCTCGCCCCCACACCAGCTGCTCACCTGGGGGTGTTGCTGTGGGTGCTGAGCGACAGCTCCCGCGCCTGCTTCTCTGTCACCATGTCAGCCCGCACCATGGAGGGCTTGGGCGTTGCCTTCATCAGCCGGGGGCCCAGCAGGAACCGGACGCTCGCCTGGAACTTGGTCTGGGTCTTCAGCACCTGCGGGGGCTGCTTCTCCACCAGGAAGGAGCTGGGGGACAAGGGGACACCGTGGTGCCTGGCGTGATGCCCCGCCAGCTCTGCCACCAGCCCCTGCAGACCCACCTGGCCCACCACAGCCCCTCAGGCTGTTACCTCTTGACCAGGCTGGACAGCACCTCGCTGAAGCGCTCCAGCAGCCGGGGCAGCAGCTCGGGCCCCAGCTCCGCGCTCGCCGCCATCACCTGCTGCTGCAGCTGGAAGTAAATCTCGACCAGGTCCTCGCACCTGCAGAAAGGGGGACCCTCAGCACCAGACCACCACTCACCCAGACCCCCTTGGGCTGGTGGAGGGAGCAGGGGCTTGCTTGGGGTCCCCCATCCCCGCCCTGTGCCCCCGCACCTCTTCTGCAGCGGCGCCAGGTTCTCCTCAAAGACGGCCCCGTTCCCCGCCAGCTGCTGTTGCCTCTTCCAGATCTGGATCCTCTTCAGGACCTGCTGTTTGACCGCCTCCAGCTCCTTCACGGCCTCCAGGATGAGGGTGGGCAGCTCCTGGGGGGCAGCGCCAGCCCCGGCCCGCCCCTCGCCCGCG